TAGAAAATGTGTGTGTTGTATATACTTTGTTGAAGAATGAAAAAAAAGGCATAAGCATCGATACACCTGTCGAAACGTTGTACATTTAAAAGTAAAACGTGCAATGATGCATCAGACGCTTATTGTCAACAAGAAATAGATATTTATATACATATTTTGAGGAGAAAGAGAAAAGAATATTACAGTAATCGATGCAACGTATATTGACGATCACATTAAAAAAAACGTCTATACCTACATACTAGTTTACTTTATTTTTTGTGTGATTCGTAAAAAATTTTCAAAGTGAGTAGATATTTGTTTAATAATTTTTATAGAATATATATATTCAGATATATGATTTTTGCCACAAAACCATTATAGCAATAATTTTAATTGCTAACGTTAATGATATATGTAATGATGAAAGTACTGATTTAGAACTTTATCAATAAGAAAATAGTTTCATCATTGATTATTTCTATGCGTGTTCTCTATCTAAACGATAGTTACAGACAGAATGATAAAAAATGATAGATTAATTTGAATACATCGATTTTTGTTATCTATTTTACACAGTGAACTACAATATTAGATATACGTGTTAGATAAACGATGACTGGAAGATATACATATATGATATTTTGATAAACAAAAAATTATTTTTCGTACTGACGTTTAATATCTACCTGCATAAGAATAGCAAATATCCCAGTCATCATTCATTTGTTTTTAAACACTATTCAAAAACATACTGTATTGTAAACAGAGATGTGCAATGCACGGATTATGCCTCGCAGAGCAGCAAATTTTTAGAATTAATCAGGACGACGGGGTAAAGGGTACAGGTCCGAATTCGTCCATCACCTGGCGTAAAATCATGCAAAACTATTGTTAGCTGTCGTTTTTCTATGAATTCAAACTGAAAAACAATAGTCATCCCATCCCATGGGATATGTCGCACTGTAACAAAACTGTATTGAAAAAAATTTAGTTCTGCAATATGGTTTATTAAATTAAATAATCATTTTCATTTATGACACATTCTTTCTGATAATCTATTTTAATAAATATAAAATAAAAGTTACTTCAATACTTTTCACTATACAATAGTACTTTCTCAAAATAGAAAAAAAATAAGAAAATATAAAACGACAATACTGTTATCAACAGGTCATAGAATTAGGGAGAGAAGCGGAGGAATTTTTCCCCGCTTAATTTTTTGTTCTGTTATATTTTTTATTGACTGCTTTTTGATACTCTTTATAGCACTAATTTAAAAGATTTACGCAAAAGAGAAAAAGAAATTTTGAAGATTTGACTAAAGTCAACTGTTTTTTTGTGTAGAAAAAGGCTTTCACCATAGTTTTCAAGGAAAATTAACTGTTTTCTTGCAAAGAGGAAACTTTCTATGATCTGTAGATTATTTCACTCTGATTTCTCACCCCTCCCCCCTAATAAAATCGAACGAAAGCTCAGGTTATCAACAAAAAAAAATAAGTAATCATATACATAATTACAGAAATATAAACTAAAGCCAACGACAATGAAATACTTTATAATACTGATCTAAAAACATTTAGATTGTTTTTCTGTTTTTCTAATTTTATCAGTCCTTTATTTATTTGTTTGATAATGTTTAAAGTAAGAATTATTAACCAATACAGAGAAGCGACGAATATATTACTTATGTCTACCGATTGTCGAATATGACCTCTATGCAGAATAATATTTTTCTTACAAAAAAGCAATCACACGTCCCATCCCATCCCATGACGACCTCTGTTTCTGATATAATCCGATCCGGAATTCAGATGTCATATTCCTACAAAATCCGGCTAGATCTATTGCGAAATCTAATATTTTACAATTTTTCTTAAAAGAAAGATCCGACGAAACCCAAGTCGAATTCGACTGATTTTCTGGAGTAATTCGCTATAGAATTCGAACTTTTCGGAGGATCCTGTGACAGGATTGAATCGTCTGAGTATCGTAAGCAATCTAACTTAAGGACATGACTAGTTTTTTACTGCGATTTTTATCGATTTTGTATGTTCTTACTTCATTCAGATCTTGAAACTCAGTCTGTCGATTATCCATCTTGAAATACTATTAGCTCAACACCGATATTAATCTTGTTATATCCACTGTCATCATTTGTGGATTATTCTACAAACTCCTTGCGTAATAATTAAGTCCGGTTTTCGCAATGACTCAACCAGCTCAGCCAATTCGAATTATTGTACAACCCAAGGCACTCTATCGTGAACGATATGGCAGCGAACAAAATAAAACTGGAAAGCAAGTTCAACGTTATATTCGTGCTGAAGAAAACCAGCTGAAACTCGAATATCCAACTATCGAGGTGAAAAAATAAGCAATATTAATGTGGTTTTTGATTATTACAGAGAAGACTCAGAATTTCCTTCTGAAATTCTATTATCATTTCTTCAGAGTCTTGCGGGGCAGTCTCGAATATTTTTTGGATTAGAAACTGTTATCTGGGCAATAAGAAAAATTACGGGATGAGATAGACGAGATTTGTAACAAAACGTAATAGAAAGTTGTTCGAAATCCTTATTTAACTGTGACTTTTCTCATTCTTATTTCGAAACAAATGTATATTGCTAAAACACAGACAAATATTTTATTGTTTTATTTAATTAGATACTAGAAGAGTGGCGTAATATCACTCTACCTGTATACATTCGCGTGACTTCTGTCACTGTGCCGAATGATAATGAATCTACCGTTTGTGTGCATCCATATCCAGTTGATACTGATGATCTCAACGTTCAAAAAGATCCTGCTAACAATGCCGTATACTTTCCCATCACAAACGTCGATTTCATGAGCGGCCGAAAAAGGTACCAAAAACTGACACAAGTACTTCGTTATTTTTTTATTTTGATTTATTCTTCAGTTTGCTCCTTACGCGCAAAAAATTGGTACAAAGTGGACTGAAATTACATGGTCCTCTGCGAATTTTTGGCTCTGGTAAGAGAATAATAATTTTAACAAAACTATTTTTTCTTTTCATTTGAAAGATCAAAGACATATTCTTGGTATCGTGAAGAAATCCCGCAGCAAACAGCTGATTGAAACGTATAAATTGTGGAAATCGCAACTTGTTTTTTCTCTAGCTGAACACGTCGGCAATGATGTATTTAATCTATTCACTGACTCTTCGGTATCATCACAGGTAATGTCCGACGAAACCAATCGACAACATAGTAAGTGTATAAAAACAGCTGTTTTTATAGCATTGGTATTTTCTATTTTCCTTTTCCAATGAAGATACTGCTGTTCCAGTCGTCACACCCAGCAATCATGATGAAAAAGGGGGCAGATGTGCACCAAAAAAGGGTGACTGGAAAGGTGGTGAGACGGTTATGATGGTGTTTAATAAACTGAATCGAAGAAACTGTAATTTCTGTTTTCATTTTTGTTCAATATTTTTTTCTGTTTTTCTTGAAGCACTTTGCGTATATTTTGATTATGTGGAATTGAACCAGAAAAAGAATATTCAATACGAACTGATTGATACAAAGACGATTACCTTTCAGACACCGCCATGTTTGATGGACCCAAATGGACAAGATCGAACGGTCTCAATCGTTGCTAAGCAGGATGAAAAGATCATTGCAAAATTCAATTTTCTCTATCTGAAACGTAAGTGTACTACTCGTATTCGAACTAAACTCATTTTTCTTGTCTAGCAAGCATCCTGCCGACAACGAACATGTGCAGGTGGAGTAAATTATGTACGTCATCCGATTTGGTCTGTTCAACGACGAGCAACAAACGACTTCGTTCGAATTTGGAAGATTCGCTTGCAGACTAAAAACTTTATCTGGAGTAACTGTCTAATTCAAGCGGCAATTTACTATAATAAAATATATGTATTAACCGTAGACTTTGCTTAGGTGTATTGTGTATTGTTTAAAGAGATGTGTCACAAAACGTGAAAAAATTCTCTCCAGCGAACATGGAAAAAATCTTTTTGAAGCTTCTTACATATAGAGAGTTTCGTAGGAAACCTACTATGGGCGAGGTCCGACAAGGGTTGCGTAGCAAGGGGTTTCGCTAATGCCTATTTATTAGCTTATCGAACTAACTAAACTATTAAATTCTCTTATCTATTTAACGAACGAATCAATCAAAAGTTTCAGACAAAATGTTCGTTTATTTTTGGCTTAAGGGTGTGGGTATAGATCTTTGATATATGTGTCACTCATCCACACCTACCAACCTATACTTACATCAAAATTATTCAAAAATATCTAAAGAAAACGACGAAACAGTTGTCATGTTTTTTAATTTAAAAAATTCGTTTTAGTTTATTAATTGAATATTACTAATGCTCAAGGTCGATCAGAATGATATGGTTTAAAGCATAAGAAGAATAATAAAATTATTAATCATTAAAATACATTAGCATCTCTACGTTATTGAATATTTCAGACATATCAATAATATTTGATGATAAAACATTTTGTTTTTCTTCATTTTAATGACAACTATGTTGTATTGAAAGCAATAGAAAATACATACAGATAACTTGTACAGATCATGAATCATGTATTTATCCAGATAATCTTCATGTCACACATAAACTTTGTTTATATAATTAGTTTCATGAAAATAAGATAAATCCATATGATTGCTAAAATCTACGTTAATTTTGATATATACAGTTTGATATCGAGACAATCATTGTAATTATAGCAGTACTCTTATGAATGTCATACATCTCTAAATATTTAATTAAAACAAATCACAGAAGTCGCTATAAAAATATTCATAAAAATAATGACGATTTATTCACCTACGATAATCTAACTATAAACACTTGGAAGTTCATTTACAAAGGTATGATGTAGAAATGTGATTTACTTGTAATTAATTTACTCGTCATACATACTGTTTAATCCTAATATTTTTCTTTTCAATTTCTATTTACAAAGTATGAAAAACATTTTATAATTTCTTTTATTTCATTCAAAATAGTTTCAATCTGAAAAATTTACAAAATAAATTATTTAACTAAATATCATATCTTGATGTTTATCAAGATCAATAATATCTTCTTCTTCTTTTTACTGTTGAAAAAGTGCATATGTTTCTTCCTTGTCATTGTTTTATATGTGGTGAAAGACTTTCAATTAATTCTCGATGTTCTTCATTAGAATTTTGATCAATTGAGGATGATAATGATGGTAATTGTTCAATAACATTATTTGCAAGTATTTGTCGACATACAGGATTTTCAATATCATTGCGAATATCACGTTGAATATAAAATCGATTTTTTTAGGTTTTTTATTATGATAAAAATGATGACAATTCGTTTTTATTATATCATTTCGATTACTTATTAACATTAAACATATAGCACCAGCTTTCTGTGGAAGTTCATAAACAAATAATTCCGAACGTGTTGATTCGATGCATTCATAAAGTACACAAGAACCAATATTTGATTCAAGACAAGAATATCTTAAAGAATTTAATCCATTGATTTGTTCATCTATTAAACCACGAGGACGGCAAAGAGTTATTTTTAGTGAATTTAAATTTGGATATGTTGATGGAAGTTCTGCAATGAATGTTGTACACAATAAACGTTTATCACGATCTAAATCATTTTCATCTCCATTAGAATAGATTGTTACATTTAAAGAAATTGGATTATCATGATTTATAATCAAGTCATCCAAATAAATGGATATTAATATATTTAATTCTTCATCTCTATATTCTTGAGTAAGAATCTGAATATATTTTTGTCATATACATATTCTTTTTTACCCATATTATCATGATTGAAGTTATTTTAAGTGAGCAATGAGAAGAAAAGCGCTAGTAGTATTCAATTAAATATACTTATAATAAAATAAATAGTTTTTTATCCAATCAATATCATTATGATATTGTTTACTAATCTATTCTTTATTTGTAATTAATCGATTTTTGTATTGTTATAATACTCTATACTATAATTGTGATAATGAGTATTGAATAAAATATTTATTTAGAACTTTAAAAAAGAAATCTAGGATATTATTATAATATAAAGATTTAGAATAGGAAAAAGCAGACAAGAATGTGATATTTCTTTTACTTATGTTTCTGTATAGAATCAAATAATACATTTGTTTTATTCATGAATCCTCTAGATATTTCAAAACGTTAGTTGTTTTACGCATTGAAATATAGAATTACAGTGTAATCTTTTCATTCAAAAGACATAGTACTGATAGGAATATTATTAATTGATCTTCCATCAAAATTTTAGCAATTACTTTAGATTTTTTTCGCATATCGAACAGCTTTTTTTAAATATTCAGTCTTTTAACACAAGTTTTCCGACGTCAAGCATTAGTAATGATGCCTCGTCGTCATGGAAGTGCACTTTATACTTCTGGTTTTCAAAGAATTTACTATAATAATTTTTTTTAATGTTTAGATCATTTGTTCAGATACTTGCAGGCTTACGTGCTACAGCATAAACTAATTTTCTATGGACAATATTTTTTAAAGATCAATAATTAACTGGCAAACTTCTATCATCATGTAATATACTTATTAATGGTGATGAGATTATTGGTCAGTCAGCTGCATATCATCTAAGTGCATTCAATGTTTAAAATATTGTACTCATCAAAAAAGCAAAGTAATGAAAATATTTTATATTTTATTGAATTCATTTGTATTGAAACAGATTAGCATCGGGTTCAACATGGCAAATTTCTGGTCAAATATCTCATTTACAAAATATCAAAGAGAATTATATGAACGAGTACATAAAGAAGAACATGGTATTGGTAATATTTAAAATTTTTCTTTTATATTATGATTTATATTCGACAGGTTTTATAGAAAAAGGAAGTTTATGGGTAGCTCAAACATCCGATCGTCTTCACACACTTAAACGTCAATATTCTATTACAAAACCGTTAGGGATCGACTGTGAAATATAAAGTCATGAAAAACCAAGAGAAAAAGTACCACTTATAAATCCATATGAAATTTGCGTATTAAATAAATTTCTATAATATATATATTTTATTTAATGACATGTATCTAAATGGTGGTCTTTGACTGCCTAATGATTTTATGGTTGATCCCGTACCATTAGCTTTAACATTTGCTCAAGAAATTCTTACAGAAAAACAACGTACTGGACAATCTCATCGTATAACTGGTGCTGTAACATCAAAAGGTCATATTAAATGTGATGTATTTTTTTTCTATATGAAAATAATTAACTACTTATTTATATTTTAAGTGAGTACGAGAACTTGGATTTCAAACTTCACCAAGTGTACGAATTCCTATTCAAGCATGTGGTAAATTTATAAATTGAATTCTATTTCGAAAATTATCTAATAAGATTATTATACAGAATATATGTTTAAAAACTAAACCAATTCAGTTCATAATCCTGAAGAACGCTTTTATATTCAACCATTAGCTAATCACAGTGTATTAATTGGTAGTTTTCTACGTCAATCAAAACCTATTTTTTCAAATGGTGTTCCAGATACATTTCATTTTTCACTTCCAGCCGATAAATATAATGATTTTCGTAGGTTATCATCATTTTATTCATCGTATATTTATACTTATTTTCTAGATTGAATCTTACGTAATACTTTCAAACGATTTCCTATTCCAGCTAAAAGCGAATATGAAACATTAAGTACCGGCACTGATAGTTTTACACCAGATGACCAATTAATAATGAATGAATCAGCTGAAGTTAGTTGTTTATTTAATGAATAGAAATATTTTATAAAATAACGAAATCTTTAGATTGATAATTATTTCGTTGCATCCGGTTCTAATGGACATGGTATAGCACTTGCTAGTGGTGTTGGGAAATATACAGCTGAATTAATATATTATGAAAATACAAATTTAAGTACATCGCCTATTGATCTATGATGTTTCATATGTTTACATACAAATAAACGATTTTCTCAAGATCATTTACGAGAGATACCAGGTAAAACTTGAGATATGTTCTTGTTTTTATTATGTTAATTTATAATAGGAAAACAATATTCACTGAAGTATCCAACTTATAACGAAGTACTTGGTTACGAATGGCCACTATTTTTTAAACCAGATGAAACAGGAAAAAGTATTTTGAAACTAAAAGGAAATATTTTTTTTAATTTCTTTTTTTTTTGTAATACAGAAGCTTTTGAAGATTTAAGTAAACAAGGTATACTTGGTAAAGCACGATGATTTAATACAGTTAAAAAAGAATATCATTCAATCATTTTAGGAAATTGATGTTAGTTTTGTTAATCACATGTATGCAATGCGATTAACACATACTGGTGAAGATGGTTTTATGCTTTATATTTCATCAGAAGTAAAATATATTTTATATTTGTTGTTGATTATTTTCCTTTTCTAGTATGCTTTATGTGTATACGATATGTTAATGAAACAAGGTAAAGATTATGGAGTAATCAATGCTAGGTAATAATGATAATTTTGATAAATTCTTATTTATATATATTAATTTAGATACTTTACTCAATGTACTCTTCGAACTGAACGTATGTACCCATTATGGGGACATGATATCGATAAGAAAACAACACCATTTCATTTAAATAGAGAATATCATATATCATTTAATGTAAAAATAAAATCTAATTAAGTCAAGTTTGTTATTCTACAAATAAATATAATTTTAGAAAATTTTATCAGTATAGAAGCTTTATTAAAACAACGACAACATGATATACAAAAACGATTCGTTCAATTTCTTCTTGAAGATCATAATCTTGATTCAGATCCATGGTTATTGAAATACTAAGTGGTGAACCTATTTATCGTAATGGTGAATTTTGTGGATTTGTTACTTCTACAGTATATGGTTTTACGTTTGAAAAACTAGTATAAAATACGAAAAAATAATCTGTAATTTTCATGTATACATATTTTTTATAGGTCTGGTTAGGATTTCTTCATGCACCTTCTTCAAAAAAGATCACTGTTAATTATATTCGTGGATCTACATATGAAATTAATATAGCAACTAAACGATTTAAAGCACATTCTAATGTTTATCAACCGACTGAAATGGGCCCTACAGTTCTACTATATACAAATTAATTTTTAAATAATGTATCTCGTTAAATCTCAATGAACAGTCAAAATGTATCAATACTTTAACAACTTTATTTTTTTTAATTTTCTCATCAAAAAATTTGTAGGAAGTGTGTTTTTAATATATATCCTATTATTGAATAAATATGAATCTTTGTGGATTATCTTTTATAAATATATAGAATGCAAAGTTATTGAGGATGCGAGAGTGTGAAATGCGTTAAGATGTTGACATGCCAGCTACACCTTTCTATATCAGATACATTTTTTTGTTTCATTTATGATAATATATGATACAAAAAAGAGGCAAATATGTGCGTTTGCTTGTTTGTTATGTAGCCACACATCATTACGTTTTACCTTTTCTGGTAACTTAACAGAATATGAAATATTCTGCCATTACATCGATTTTTACTCATTGATTTTGAGTATTATATTTTTATCAATCTTAAAAATTAAACTCATATAATAAAATCTACTCCAAATATTCAATTCTATTCCGTTACACTAATTACATGCAGCTATTTCTGATTTTACTCATCAGCCGAAATCACTTACAAAATCAAGTTATAAGCTCATAAAAGCCGATATTATAATACTTAATAACTAGCACAAAAGAAAAATATTGTCACACTTTTTCATAGCTGATATAACTCCTTAAAAAAATGTATATATTTTTCCATAAAAGCATTTTTGTATATCATACCTTGCGTCCTCTACATCTTACAGTTATTATTCGTTATTCAAAAACGCCTTTCAACTAAAAACTTACATCCTCTACAAATTATAGCAATCACTTTTAGTTTACTTTAAAATAGAATAAAATCTCATTTAATATTCACAAAAATTAAATTCCCACGTATAGTCTCATTTATCAAAATTTTCTTAGAAAATAATTATAAAATTGAAAATATTTATTCAAAAACTACACACAACTTAATTTCACGGTCAATAAAATAATTGAACTCAATTTATCTATTTAAAGTTCATCTCTTTTAAGTTCGCAAAAGCGAAGTAGACAGGTGGCGAATTCCCATTGGTAAGTGCACAACTACAATTATTAAGTACGAAATCCCATTGATAGGCGGGGAATTCCCACTGGTGAGTCAAAATTACGATTATTAAGTAAAAATATCCGATTTATGAGTAAAAAATCCTATTGTTAAGTGGTGAGTCACCAAAGGTAAAGTGCAAAAATATGATTTTTAAGTAGACATATCCGATTTATGAGTAAAAAATCCCTTTGTTTACTGGGCAAAGTGCAAAAATATGATTTTTAAGTAAAAATATCCGATTATTAAGTACGAAATCCACTCGCTATCGATGAGATATAAAAGGACGTGCGCGTCGATGTAAAAACATACCAATTTCATCTTGTGCATATTTACACAATACTCTCTTCTCAACGTCCAGCTACAATAAACAACTATGCAGGTTAGTCAACAAATCTTTTTAATTGGATTCTTGGTTTTGGTAGCAATAAGTTACATGGCGATGGCACATGAGGCAGATAGCAAATCTTTACTTCGCCATTTGATCAATAAACGTACGCGCTGTTTATTTTCAACGACGTTTTTCTTCTAAGCACAGCACACATACCCGATATAATACACCCCCCAATTTTCGAATACAACCCTTAATGCAAAAGTCACTTATCATGTAATACCGATCGATCTCACTAACTTCAAACATCCTCTTCGCAATGAGCCAAGCTTTCGCACAAAACCTTAGTATGTATTATTCCTTTGTCTTGTATTCCTCCATCATCTAATGAACACCAAATATTTGCTTTGAACTAAACAACATATTTGAAGACAATCTTGGTATGAATCATTCATATGCTATATATTCCTTCATCGTGTACCAAGTTCGAAATTTTTCTCTTACACTAAACAAAATACTTGCGCATCATCTTAATAATAAATAATAAATTATCGTGTGTCTCTCAAGTATTTAATGATCACAAAATCTGTGCTTTCGAATGGAGAATATAGCCGAATATAATTCTGGTATGAACTATTCATTTCGCACGCGCTTCTTCTCCAACTAATAAACTCGACACTTTGATCTCGAAATAAACTATATCGTCGAATACACTCTTGGTTTATATTATTGGACTGTCGCGCGTTCCTCCATCGTCAAATGATTTCGAAACTTTTGCGTCAAACTGAAGAAAGTATTCGAATAAAATCTTTCTTCGAATTATTCATTTTTCTTTTTTCCTCACTATGTGATGAAGTCGAAGTCTTTCCTTCAAACTGAGTGCAGTATTTTAATAAAGTCTTAATAGGAGTTATTAATTTGTCATGTGTTCCTCAACCAATGAATAAAGCCGAAATATTTGTATGCAACCGACGAAAATAGGGAAACTGCATCTTAATGGTTTGAATTGTCGATTAGTTGTCTGTTTTTACACAATGTGATCGAGTCGAAATCTTTCCTTTGAAAATAACAAAAGATTTGAATAGAATCTTGGTGGTAATTAATCACTCGTGGTAAAGCACTTCACCACAGAATGAACTCGAAACTTCTGCCTCGAACTTAACGAAATATTTGACTAGGGTCTTCTTGTCAATTGTTGATTTCTCATGTGTTTTCCCACCATGTAGTTAAGTCAACATCTGTGCTTCGGAATGAACAGAAATATTTGAATACAATGTTGGTAATGTATGCTGTCGATTTGTTGTTTATTTCACCATCATATAGCATCCTCAAAATCCTTCCTTCTAACTGAACAAAATATTCGGATAGAATATTGGTATGAATTATTGATTTGTCGTGTGTTGCTCCAACATGTATTGAGCTCGAAATCGTTGCGTCGAACTACACAAAACATTTGAATAAAATCTTAATATAAATTGTCGGTATGTCGTGTGTTTTTCTGTACTATGTAATGCAGTTTATGTCTTTGTTTCGACGTGAACAAAACATTTGAATAACATTTTACTATGAATCTTTGATTTCTCGTGTGTTTTTCAACATACTTATGAGGTCAAACTGTTTGCTTCAAACTAAAAAAAATATATGAATAGCATCTTCTTATCATTTATTGATTTCTCATGTGTTCAGCTGCTATGTAATTAAGTCAGCATGTGTGCTTCAGAATAAACTAAAATATTTGAATAGAATGTTCTTACGAATCATTCATTTGTTGTATGTGCCTCCACCATGCAACGAACTCGAAATCTTTGCTTTGAACTAAGCAAAACAATTCGAATAAACTCTTAATATAAGCTATCGATTTATTGTTTATTTCACCATCAGATAGTGTCATCAAAATCCTTCCTTCTAACTGAACAAAATATTCGGATAGAATATTGGTACGAATTATTAATTTGTCGTGTGTTGCTCCAACATGTATTGAGCTCGAAATCGTTGCG